CTTCATGTAGCAGCTTTTTGGGTCACTTAGTAAATGGGCCAGAGTAGCACACTCAAACGAGGAATATGTTGCCTCCAAAATCCAATGAGGCCCACAAGGTTATACCTCTTTTTTGTTGTAGGAGGGGCTAGATGCAACAATTCATGCTTTACCTTAGAAGGGATACCTCAACATGTCTGACCCACCAAATCCCTAGAAATTTCACCAAGGTTGGAGGCTGCTGAAGTTGGTTACATTTTTTTCTCACCACCTAGCTTACAAATGTCTTACCAATAAGTCTAGAGTAATTGATTTCTCTTGCTCACAAGGTCTAATCAGCACAATGTCATCAACGTAAAGGACTAGTGTGATATCTTGCGGAGGGGAAAGGGATCTCATGATCAAGATCCCCATGAGTTAAATTACGACATAGGTCGGGAGAGTTGATATACCCCTGAGGTAGGCTAGAGAACAAACTGCTTCTGGTGGACCTTATGAATAGGGACAGAGAAAAAGGCATTTTCCAGATCAATAGCTGCATAGCAGATACCAGGCAATATGTTAATTTGTTCAAGTAATTAAAGTACATCTGGTAGAGTCACTGCAATTGGAGTCACCATCTTGTTAAGCTTACAATAATCCTGTCATTCTCAGAGAACTATCAGTGTTCTGTCCAGACCAGAGAGAATAGTTGAATGGGGATGTGGTGAGAATCACCACCCCTGCATTCTTTAAGTCTTTGATGGAGACACTAATCTCTTCAGTCCCTCCAGGAATGCAGGATTGTGTTCGGTTTACTATTTTCCTAGGTAAAGGCAGTGCCTCTTGGCCTTTTCCACCATAATATCCTTTACTACATAGATCAGGGAACCAGTGTGAGATTCTGCCAGTTTCTCAGTATGTCTGTTCCAGTTGTGCATTCCAGAACTGGGAAAACAACCACAGGGTGGATTCAGGAACCCATCTCCTATGAGATGTACTTCAGTTAAAACCCCATTGATCACCTGACCTCCATAAGCCCCTACTCTGACTAGAGGACCATAGTGGTGTTTGGGTCTCCTGGAATCAGTGTTGTTCAGAGCCAGTGTCTAGCAGTCCCCCAAAGGGGTGATTATTTCCTTTTCCCCAGTGTACAGTTATCCTGGTAAAAAGCTGTAGGTCCCTTTTGGGAAAGCTGGGAAGATTAACAGTAAAAATATTTGGTGTATATTGGGGTCTTTCTTCAAGGGTACCAAGCTTCCCTTTCATTTAAGTCATTCTGGGTTTGTAAACTGGCTCAAGTCTGAGAAGCCATGACTGTTTTTATAATTCAGATTAGACTTTTGTTCACTTGACCTAGAACTTCTCTGCTTATCCAGAACAAGTAAGAATTTAGTAGGCTTCCTATCTATTTCACTTCTAGGCACACTATGACCAACTAGCCAACACCATGGGTCAGTGCACGTCAGCCTATCCCCATCACTGTATTGACTCTGCTATTATGGTATCCATGCTCTCCTTGCCTTAGGCAGTTGAGTGCCACCATTAGGTATCTGCCACCCCAGGACCTAGGTTTCCCAGTTCAGAGACTGCAGTTCTCCCTGCAAGGTCTGGCCTACAAGGAATGATCACAGAGCTCTTCAAGGATTCTAAGACTCTCCTCACAGATTTATTTCTCACAGTCATGGTGAAAGGCACGTCTTCTGGACCTTCCCAGGCGGGTGAATGGGTCTCAGATGACAAACCCACTCCAACATCCCACCTTCCCTGTCTTTGAATCCCTTTCTTTACATGAAATCAAGGCAGATCCAGCACTTCTCTCTCATTCACTGTGGGTCACCTTTTTGGCCCATGCTTCAGCCAGCCAACCAAACACACTGTTAGACCCTTTCTAACTCCTCAAGATGCACCATTACATAGAAAATCTCTGCTTAGTCAGCCCCTATCAATAAATTCTGCCCGATCCAACATTATGTTTCTGCCACCATTATCCCACCCCTTTAGTATCCATTACCACAAATACTCCTCAGATTTCTATCTGCATGAATTAGAAAACTCAGGTAATTCTTTTGGAATATAGCACACCACCTCATGGGTCATACTTTGTACCTCACCTTTAGGGTCCTGCTGAGAACTAAGTCTAGTTATAGGTCTAGAAGCAAAGAGGGGTGATGGAGGTGGGTCCTCAGGAGCATCAACATTGTCTTGCTTGGCAGTGGGGGAGGCCACTGCCCTCTCCTCAGGCAGTACAGGCTTCAGACAGGGGTTAAGAGATCACTTTTACTGGGGTAGAGAAACTGCTTCCACTGTCAAAGATGACTCATCAGAATTTAGGGGTCCAGTGTTCCCAGCTCCATCAGGGTCTTCCCACATATCCTCATTCCAACTTTCAGGATTCCATTCCTTTGCAATTAATGCCTTTAACAGTAGACACCCTCTAAGGTTAGGAGTTGAACTCACATCGTATTTCAGCTAGATTCAAGATGAGATTGTGAGTTTGATTTTTAGCAATCTCAGCCTTGTGGCCATAGGAAAAAGGGTATCCTTCAGGAAAAATTAAGATTTCAAGTCATTTCTGGGACTCTTGAGCTGAGAATTTGAATTGTGAGCTCATCTTTTTCTTTCCCCACTTTATCTAACAACATTAGGAGCAACCAGCCAATCTCCTTGTACTTATTAGTTTGACAAAAATGTTTGAACATATCATATACATGGTCACCCAGATCGTAGTTTCCTTTAAGTTTAGTGTCTGTAAATCTAACCAGATTAGAGAGCCAATTCCAGAAATCCCCGAATGAATTCAGAAAATTCTTCCTTAAAATTTTGTTCTTCTAGAAGCACTCTCCGAGCGTCTTGGTGGCTCAGTTGGTTAAAGCGTCTGCGTTTGGCCCAGGTCATGATCCCAGAGCCTTGGGACTGAGTTCTGCACCAGGCTCCCTGTTCAGGGGGGAGCCTGCTTCTCCCTTTGCCCCTACCCCCTGCTCATGCGCTCTCTCTTTCATGCTCTCTCTCTCTCTCAAATAAATAAAATCTTTTAAAAAAAAGAATTAAAAACACTCTTAGTATCAAAATCTGTACTAGTCAGAATTCCCCAGAGAAAAGTGTATGTGTATGTGCATGTGTGTATGTGTTATAAGAAATTGCCTCACATGATCATGGAGACTGGTAAATCCTAATCTGCTGTATGATCTATCAGGCTCAAGACACAGAAAAGCTGATGGTTATAAACTCTGAAGGTCACCCAGGAAAGGTGATAGTGCAGATGAAATCCAAATTGGAGTATGGGAGAAACTCCCTCTTTTTTGTGGAGGCTAGTCTCTTTGTTCTATTCAGACCTTCAACTAATTGGATGAAGCCCACCACCTTATGGAGAGCAATCTGCTTACTCAAAGTTCACTTATTCAAATGCTAATCTCATCCAAAAACCATCATACTCTCCAAGTGGAGATATAAAATTGGTGTCTTTCCCAGGTGTCTTTCACATGATATTTTGTTTTCCCCATATGTTAGAACTAATAACGTGCCATACTTATCCTTACTTTGAGGACAACTCATTTTTACCTCTTTCTTGAGCAATGTTATTTTTTTTCTCAGGACCCCCTACTTAAAAATCATAGTTTCATTTTCTACCTTAGAACTCTTCTCTTTGAGGGCAGAAGGTTCTGCTCTTTCCCCCTTGCTTTCAGCTTGTTACCAATTTTCACTTCCAGTTTATTCTTTAGTCAAACTGATGATGCTCATCTCCAACTAGTCCTTCATTTGCTCTCTTTTCCACACTTGGAAAAACCTCACTTCTACAGCAGTCCTTCAGGAAATTCTCTTCCATGTTTCAGTCTCTCTGAGGAGACTTCTGGGTCCTGCCAGCCCATGAAGATGGCCCCCTCTGTACTCTGCAGGATTCCTGGGTCCCACCCTCTAGCACTCAATTGGAAGGGTCAGGTGTGGGACATATCACTGTTTGCCAAGAAAATTCCTGCCTTCTGCTAAATCCTCCAGCATCTGACACTGTGAGCTGTCAATATAAGACCAAATTACTGAGTGTTGCCATATGCCTCTCTTCTCCGACTTCAGTCTCCATTGGATTTCCTGGGCCACACTAAAGATGCAATGGCAATTTAGGAAATGCAAAACTTTAAATGGAAGCTTGGACTTTTCCCACGACCTACAGCATGGCTGATACGTCTTCAGAAAGAGATTGTGAGACAAAACATTTCCTAGTTCTCTTTTCCCCTACTCTACCCTTGCTCCCCCAGTGGTCCTGAAGCAGAAATTTCTGGACATACTTTCTTCAGAAGTTCCTGGGAGCCTGGGATTTGGCTACCTTGGAGGCCAGCCAACCAGAATGTCCACCATCAAAGGACATCTTCAGTACTTTTATTTCTGTGTGGGGCACTACCTGCACCCATTATCAGTACACATAGTTTTAAATGGCTGGCCCTTTGCTGGCTCCTGGAGTGGACTTGTAATTTGAATGTCACCTAGAAGAATGCCACAGTGATTGGAGCAGCAATGGGCTGTGGGCTTATGAGTCATGAGAATTAGACCACAGACTTTTGCTGGAATTACCAGGAAGAACGCTCTCTCTTTTTACCAAGGCTATTAAACTGGTAGGATGCAAACTGGAGGTGCTGGTAGTCATTATGGCCACCACTTGGAAGCCCTTTTTGAGGGTGATAGCTATAAAAAAAATAGTCCCTGTCAACATTTGTTGAGCCCCTAGATTCAGGCATGCCCGAAGCCAAATACCATTCATGGTGTTTTTCTGTTATGTACATCTACATCTATAAATAACTGTTTTTGGCTTTAGATGATTTGAGATAGATAACTCACTTGCAATGGAAAGAGTCCTGACTAATGGAGGGACCCAAAGCCTAGCCCCCAAGCCAGGGCTCCAGCCTGCCTTTCTGGTCCTACTATCTATTGTCACCTTCAGTTCCTGGCTCTTAGATCTAATCTGTAGCCAGTCTGTCTGCTAGTAGTACATTTTCACACACCTTCATTGGTTAAGAAATAGCATCTGCTTTATTATCAGGAGAAAATGGCCCCGAATAGCATGATGGACAGAAGCGAAATCAGGATCCAGAATCTGGGACTTCCTGGCTCTGGAAATTCTGCAGCATGGGACCTCACTTGTTTCCTGTTGGGAGGAGCTCTCATTTCCTCAGCATTAAAGGGCCTTCCCTCTACCTCAGTCACCTTCTTAATCCAGAGGCTGTAATTTTCTAACAGGGTGTATATTCCTGGCATGTTCTTCTGTCCACAGCTCTTGCCCCAGCTGATGATGCCCACCTGGTACCAGGTCTTGTCAGATTCTGTGGTGCAGACCAGAGGCCCTCCACTGTCACCCTGTGGGCAGATAACAAAGTTCAATAGTGAGTCCCATTCCAGACTGTTCATTTGAGGCAAAGCATATCTCACTAACTGAGACAAGGCACTGATCTCCCCTGCTCCAGGCTGCCAAAGCAAATGTTGTCATTGCTGGGCAATGCCCACCCCTCTCCTGGGTCCACAGGAGCAGTGTGCCGCTGTCAGGCTGGCTCTGGGAGTTATAGACAGTGGAGAAGATGAAACTGAAGACGGAGGAGAGAGAGAGAGAGAGAATTGGTGAGAAAATCACTGCATGTAGCATAGTGAGAGAGGAGCTGGAGGCTGGAGTAAATACTGCATAGACCAAGAGGAGTGGGAGCTAGTTTTGTGGGCCTTATCAAATCAGAAGCTCTGGGAAGGGCTGTAAAAGAAAAGAATGAAAGCAGGATATGAGAAATATTGTTAGAGTTGTGGATATGCTTTGAGTCTCCTTTCGTGTTCTTCCAGGGAGATGAAGGAGAATGATGTTCCTTTTTAATTCTTTGGTGTGGGTGTCTGCAGGACACAGCGAGCTAAAGCTTTTCTGAATGCATGACCCATCTGGGGTGGAATCACATGGGCCTATGACTCACATGGTTCTATATACAGAAAATGTATACCAAGTCCCTACCATGTACCACACATATATATGACTTCCTTCTACCCATTTTAACACATGTAAAATGAGGCTTAAGGAGGCTTAAAAGTTGATCAGGGCTACACAGTAGCCCAGCCAAAGCTAGAACCAGGAATTCCTGATGCTAAATCAGTTGGCTATCAGGCTTCGTCCTTGGAAGAAAGTCCCCCTGAGGCATGCTGTCATCAGCCCTGGGTCCTTAACCGTCCGAGGCTAGACCCTCCTTTGAGGCAATGTTTGCTTTTTCTTTCCAAAAGGAAGAAAAAAAAATAAGTTTATGCATAAAAGGACATATATTTACAGATGTCCTTCTTGGTCCCAGCAGCCCATGAGAAGAATCTCTATTTCCTAAATAAACAAGCAATGTTTGTAATACATTAGGGTTAAATAACAATATTAATACATTTCCAGGGCATTTACTACATAGCATTTACCCTGGGCTGAGTTATTTATATATTCTTAAAATTTCACCTGCCAACAGTCTTGGCAAGTACTTGGTATTATTTGCATTTGAACTATGTGGAAACTGAGGCTTAGAAGAGGTACTTGCCCAGGGACAACGGTTCTCTCCCTGTTGTATAAGAAAATAACAAATAGTCAAGGCAACAGATTAATAAGATTTTTAATAACATTTATCCCTTCATAAAATGAAGAAAGTTATAAAAACAAAATTTATGGAAGGAGTTATTGAAGTGGTAATCCTGTTGGTTTTGTTCTTGCCCAATGACTAAAACAAAACTAGTACAAAGAAAAACACCCACAAATCCAGACAAGTGTTAGAGGCAACATTTTATACTGGAAAGGGCAATTTTGTTTTTGGCCCACATTTACTGTGTGTCCTTGAGCCCTGACCTCTTTGTAATTCTGCTCTGTATATCCCCCTGCTTGGTGATGCGTCCCTCAGTCAACCCAAACTCCACTTGAACACATTTCTTCATTTTCTCCCCCCTACACTTTATCTCTATTTTCCACACCCTATGACTTTGGAACTAGTCCTCATCATTTATATCCAAAGTCATCCCTGGTTCAGATCTTCATCATTTTTATGTCCTCATCTTGGTCCCTCTACTTCCTGTCTGATTCCCCTCCAATCTGTCCCCCGTCCCACACACTCTTCCTGTCAAATTCCTATTTACCCTTCAAACTAAATGTTTTGAAGTATACCCCGACAGACCTTTCCCTCAATAGAATCAATTTATTCCCCGCTTTGTACCCCTCCCTTATTGTGTTCATACAGAAGTATGATCAAACACAGTTGATCCTCTTTGTTTACATTTTTATCTCTTCCACTAGAGCATAAGGTCTTGTATCCCAAAGGCCTGATGATTAGTTTTTCCTCAGTGAAGATTTGTTAAATGGGAGTGATCAAACCTCTCTGACCTTCAGTTGTGGAATTATACAATGGGAATTAAAAGACCTACCTCATAGCCAAACTGTGGAAAGAGCCGAGATGCCCTTTAAAAGTATGATTTTATTTTTAAACCCTAGGGGACTGTCTGCCTAGTTTATCTGTTTTAAAGTGATGATAATATTGTATAATTTCAGAAAAATTTCCTTGACTGCATCACTGTCAACTTATTGTTAACAATAAAAAGCTGTTTAAGCAGAGGGCAAAGCTTTTCACTTCACAATTATAAAAACAAGGCCTAAAATGATAACCACACATTCATTTATAATACTCTTAAGTAATAGACATTTAATTTTAGAAGCCTTCACTAAAGTACATTTTGATGGGAGAGGTATTGAAGCAAAACTCCTAGACTCTAGATGGTAGATCCAGCCACTGAAGCAAGGGGTACAGAAAATACCATCAAAGACAACACTTGATTATTTCGAATTTTGTCATAATTGGCTTTGGCCATTTGAATGTGGGATGGTGTTAAATCAAAGAGATTGAAATGGTCCAGTGGGAGTGCCCATGGGGCCTGATTCTTATGTTGGGTGAGCGGTAGGAGTGACAGCAAGTCTTCCATGCCTGGCACACAACCTCCCTAGGTGATCTTGCTCTGTCCACCTCTCCAGTCTCATTTCTTATTACTTCTGGCTTCCGAAATACTGGAAATTCCCTGAGCGCATGATGCTGTTTCAAGCCTTTGTGATTTTTCTCACATTCTCTCCAACTGCTCTCTCTTTCCAATCTTATCTATTAAATGTTGTTTCCCCTTTTCTATTGATATTGGAGGCCTTTGCCTCCTGCTTCAGGATGTAATGGTTGCTCCCTGAGTCTGTGGTATGGCTAGGATCTGAGATCTTTCTGTCACTGCTATTATTGGGAAGCTTCATCTTCTCTTCCTTATTTAATTTTGATATAACTGTAGTTGTACAATGCAGTTACTATAATGTTGTAGTTGTATAATGCAGTTGTAAGAAATATATGTTATAATGTTATAATGCAGTTGTAAGAAGTAATACAAAGGGATCCCATGTTCCCTCCAATAATAACATCTTTATATGTTTTTTCCAATAATAACATCTTGCAAAACTATTGTACAATAGCACAACCAGGATGTTGGTGTGGATACAGGGATCCCTCATGTTGCCCTTTTTGTCCTGCCTCTACTTCCCTCCTCCCTGCAACGCTTCCTTAATCCCTGGCAACCACAAATCTGTTATCCATGTCTATAATTTTGTCATTTCTAGAATGTTATGTAAATGGAATCATTCAGTGTGGGACCTCTGGGGATTGGCTTGTTTCGCACAGTGTAAGTCTCAGGAGATCCATCCACATTGGTGCATGTATCAGTTTGTTTTTGTCATAGCTGAGTGGTATTGCATGGCCTTGATGTACCATAGTTTAACCATCCACATCTTCAAAGACAATTATTTTCAAATTTTGGCTATTATGAATGATATAAACACTCCTGGACAGATTTTAATGTGAACACAAGCCTTCATTTATCTCGACTAAGTGCCTAAGAGTGGCATTTGCTGGGTTGTATGGCAGGAGTGCGTTCTGTTTTTTAAGAAACTGTCAAACTGTTTTCCAGAGTGGTTGGACTATTTTAAATTTCCACCAGCGATGCATGAGGGCTCTAGTTCCTCTGCATTTTTGTCAGCATTTGGTGGTGTCACTATTTTTTTTAGCCATTCTAAGAGGTATGGAGTGATAGCTCATTGCAGTTTTAATCTGCATTTGCTTAATGGCCAATGATGTTGAACTTCTCTTCATGTTCTTATTTGCCATCTGTATATCTTGTTTAGTGAAATGTTTGTCCATGTCTTTTGCCCATTTTCTAACAGGATAGTTTTTTTCTACTGTTGAGTTTGAGAGTTCTTTATATAGTATAAGTAATTCCTTTGTTGGATATCCTCTCCCAATCTGTAGCTTTGTTTTCATCCTCTTGTAACAACACTCCAACCAGCCTTAAGGGTTGACTTGCTCCAAGTTAACACACTCCTTGCTTGCTGACCTAAGTCCCCTGATCTATAACAGAATAAATTTACTTTCTTTGAGATTTGCAGACCATGCGCCTTGAGGAGTGAAGGACCAGAACTTTCCTAGGCCACAGAAGCCAGCAAGTCTGTCTGAAACCTCCTAGCTTTCTGATTAGCTAACAATTTTTTTGCAAAATGGTTATTTTGTTTACTTTTTTTTTTTTTTTGGTCACACAAATGATTTTGCTGTCCTCCCTCCCTTCATGCATATGTAGACCTGGCCCTCCTTTGCAGAAAGAACAGCATACTCCCAGTACCAGATCCCCTTGCATTAGAATAATGCTTATAGCTATCATCAGCAAGTCTGCATGTATTCAAGAAACGTGGCTGCCACTGCACTTCCTTTGCTGATTAACCATCCTAAACCCCTTTAAAAGCCCCTGGGCCAGGCAGAAATCTCAGAGTTGGCTTTTGGTCAAAAGTCCATCTTCTCCCTGGGTTGCTGGCCTCCTGATTAGAGCTCAAATTTCTTTCCAATCAAAAACTCATCTCTTTTCTTTTTTTTTCTTTATGTGGTATATACCACATATATATGTGGTATATATATATATATATATA